TAWYATTWTTATTATTATTATCAATTATCMTTTGCCTGAAGTACTACAGTAGTATTTTTTTCTATTGAACAAGCTACTGTGGGAAAAACAATGAACAATTTTACAAATTCCTGTTTTCAAAAAGGGAAAAATCTTTTTAGGATGACAACTGTTTTTGAATATTTAACTGTATTAATGAAAACAAAGAAAAAAAAATAAGCTAAAAATGTTTAAGCTATGTAATGAAAACAAATCACGGAAGGTTTTAATGTATTTTTTCAATGCTTTAACATTATAGCATTTCTTATTAACAGAAATTATTTGAAACTTAACAGAAGATATACAGTTGTGGACTATTTCCCCCAGAAACCTGCACTCAAGGCTTAGCCTTTGGCTTTCCCTTTTTTGTTGGTGGTGTGGGAGCACAGTTATGATGCATGCTTTGCCAACCAGGCTGGTACTGTCCCCTTAGAATGGATGGTGCAAACACTGGTCTGCCTGTCTGTGAGGCTGCTGCCATTGAGCCTCAGCATTTCTGATTCTTTCAACAACTGTAGGGAAAAGAATTTCCCGTGGAGTTGGAGAAGCTGAGGTCCTGTGCATGGTTTTTTGCTTGTCTTCCTGCATCTGTGTGAACCTGATTGCTGACAGTAGTTAGTATCTCACGCTGAACTTTGTCCCAGTAAATCTAAGCAGAAGTGATAGAGTTGAAATGTAATTATTCTAGAGGGACATGATTTGTTTTGTTTTTTTTTCTTCAGAGTCTCAGCAAGGCTTATTTGTAGTTTTGCCTGAAACGATAACATGAAAAAGCAGGAATAACCAGACAGTTGCATGAATCTGTATCAGTGATTCTTGCCATCAGCAAGTGATTAATTCTGACCTAGTTATGCATCACCCTGCTGAGTCCACTGGAAATGAACTGACAGGCCTTCACTAGAGTCCAAATCAATAGGTCCATGATCAGCAGATTAGCAATTCTCTTTGAGGGCTTATTGAGGAAGGGGGATTTTCTTCTGTGTTGTTATATCCCAAACTCTGCATGTCTTCCCAGGGATGGTGACCTGCTCATTTTGGAAGTTTAGCTGGCAGGAGTGTGAACTACATTCTCCTTTCCCTAAATAATAGTTATCCAGTCTTGAATTAATGCCACATGAAAGAGCATTTGGTTCTCTGCATCACAGACAAATGTGTGTCGCTTAGAGACAGAGATGGCACGTAGCAGGACTTGAAAGAATTGATTAAAATAAAGAGGRACTCTTTTTTTCTCTCCAATTCCTCATTTCTAGACCATCTTATGAAAAAAAGTGAATAATTTTAGACTGAGATAGTTTAAGYTGACAGGGTGACTTTTCAGGTCTAAATAAAGAAAATAAAGTAAATACTAAGAAGAAAATGTCATAATAGCCTCACAGCAACTCCAGAGTCATTGAACTTGCTCACTGTATCATCTTTTGTATACTCAAAGCAGAAAATGGCCAGCCATCAAAAATGCTTAAAGTTGATAATTTTTTTTTTTAATTAGGAAGACTAATTTTGCATTTCTTCTGAAGAAACAAAATCTGCAAGCAATAACATTTGTTTCTATCTTTTACTGAAAACATTTTCATAGAAATCTACACTGGGTTTTTTTTCTAATGCTTTAAAAAAATCTGGCTATGGTTTCATAATTGTTATTTATTTAAAATTTATAAATTCTATTTGGGGAAAAATATACATAGATGCGTACTGTTTAGTAGTAGTTTTTTTTATGAAAGCTGTCATAAAATACAACAAGAACATTGCTAGGGCTAAAATGCATATTGTAGGGGAGGTGGAAGAGTGCTTCTCCTGAACACAGTGTTATGGCACAGTGAGAGAGGGAGCAAAGCTGCCAGCCTGGAGATGGGGTCATGAGGGGCAGCTCTCAGTCAAAGTATTTCTAATTTCCTGCCTCTAATGGAAAAAGCAAAGATGTCTGCCTGCCTCCCCATGCTTGGACTGACAAATATTCAGTCCTTTTAAAGAGGAACTGAGAAATATAAACTTCTGTGGTGGTCGTTGTTTCTCTCCAGCACTCTTTATGCTGTGTGATAAGAGATTATCAGAAGGACTTCCCTTAAGTAAGAAACTGGAGGTCCTACTCTCCCCAAGTTATCCACAACCCCTTCCTCTTCAGCTCACATCTGCTCTCTTCTGAGCTTGATCCAGGAGGCAAAGTGGTGAGAAAAATCTGCAGTGCATTGCTTGGTGTTTTACCCTCTGAGCATTTTTGTACTTGGGAACAAACACAGTGCTTAACATTAAGATTCCTTTTATTAATTTCAGACATTGCATGCTTTGTAAAAGACAGTGGCAATCAAGGGTTCTGTGCACCCAAAGGGAAAATACTTCCTTTGGATCCTGCACATCACTATGTGGTTGAGTGCTCACCTTCAGATGTTTGCAGAGTCACTTGCTTAGGTTTGCCTATGAAGAAGTAGCCAAAACTCTTTAGGATGCTGTGGGTTTTTAAGTCACACATAGAATATTCAGTTCCAATACACATCTTGGTGTTCGTAAGAATCAACCCACTGAAGGAAAGAGGAAAATGCTCTTAGATTGCAAGTGGACACTAGAGATTATGAAAGAAGAATTTTGAATATGAGTCYTCAACTATCAAATGCAACTTGATTGTAGCGTTTTGTTACTTGATTCAGTGCCATTGAGCTCATGGGGAGAAATTAATCTTTAAAAAATGAATATCAAAATCGTATTTACACTGAAATAGAATATTGTAATCTGTCAAACTCATTTTAATTTCTAGGAATTTTGTTTTCAATTATGAATAAGATAGCAATAAAAGTACAGCCAACTCAATTATTCACATCGAATTTAAAATTAAACTCAATTTAAAACAAACCWAAAACCATCTAAAATTAAAATGTAATAGAACCATCACACCTAATTACTTTGTTCAGCATACTTGCTTATCCAGTCTTTCAGTGGTTAAGRACTGCTTTGGGAGTCAGTGAGAGCACTGCAGTGAAAATCAGTTWTATTTACATCACTCTGCAACAGTCTCCAAGTACAAGGCTGCCCTTGAAGCACAAGAGGCAAAAGTTTTTCAGTGGTGACTGCTGTCTATCTGTGTGGTTTTGTGGTTTTTATCTGTTTTTTTTTCCTTTAACTCGTAGAACCACATCACGGCCTTTGCAGAAGTCACATGATGTTGATGCTGATGTGTATTCACTCCATTGGACTTCATCTCTTTTCACARCCCACACATGATATTTGCAGTGTATCAAAAATGAGAAATTTTTAGAAGTCCGATTTCTGACTTGATTTTTACATCACTAAAATGATACCAACATTTTGAAGAATTCTTAAATATTAGAACGTCACTTTACTTTCTAGGGAAAATATTAACTGTTTACTTTTATGATAGAATGGGACAAACTGAGCACTAATTATCTGACATTACCCTCTGTTTTGGCTTCTCATTGTTTTTAATGGTTCATGTACCTATTCCAACAGTACTTTGTATTTTGATTTAACTTTGATTTTTAAAATCTACATTTTTAATTCAGCATGAACTTGTTTCCATTTGAGGCAATTTCAGTGTATAAAAACTAGACAAATATTATGTTCTGTATGAAAATGCTGTTTGCACATTGTATTACGCTGTATTCCATGTAAGATATCATTCAAACAGTATGTTATATGTAAGACTGGTGCTTCTGCTTTTGAAGAGAAAAAAAATGCCAATTTTTACTGTAATAAGTATTGTATCATAATTAAAAGTTTATTTATTTGGATATTTTCCTGACATAATTGTAGTTGAATTGTTGTTTTGTAGTTCTTGAATGTCTTGGATGATATATATGTATCTAGGTTAAAAGAAATGAAAATAATATAGAAAGTTTGATCTTTGATATATTCTTTATTACTAATGATATCCCATGAAAGGTTAAGGGCTCCATTCTTGGCTTAGCATATCTGATGGGAAGCTGTGCTGTTCATAAATCATTTAAACAAATTATTCAAGGAAGCCTGCATCTTCTCATGATTGTGGTACTCCCTGATACTATTCTGGGAGAATGGGTGCTAAGATAAGAAAAGGGTCACTAGCTTARTGAGGAAAGTTCATCTCAGTTTCTACTCTCCATTTTCATGGAAAACTCATGGAAAAACCAAAATGGCTCAATTTTTTTTTCAGCCTAAGTGACCAGGACAGGCAGTGACTTTCTCTCTACAAAGCTTTTTATCTTTGTGTGTTTCAGGCTCATATTCTTTAAAAAAAAAATCCTCTGCCAGTCTGCATGGTGTTGACGAATTGGTTTTTCTTCAACATCAGCCAATGTTACCATATCTCTGTAGTTACTGTGAATACACAGAATAAGTCTCCCATTTGAAAGACAGTCTTGCTGACTATTCATAGTGAAGTTGTCCTATAAAAATTAAACATCAAATGGATCTGAATATTGTAAATACTGAAGACATTTCTCATATCTGCCGGAAAGCTTTCCTCTGGCAAGAGCTGATAAAATGCAAGCACTACAGAAACACTGAGAATACTGTTGGTCAGCGCAGGCTGTTGAGCATTTTAGGCCTTAAATTTTCCATGGTTCCATGTATTTCCTGTGCATTAATCATTGTTAGAGTGTGTTTGAAACACAAGGATGTAGAATCAGGTATATTTTTTCTATGATGAATTTTGATGTGYTCTCACATAGTCATCAGGTAATGCCTGCTTTTACTTTTTGTTTTAACCTTTGCTTTCACTAAAATAAAACTACCTAAAGAGTGCTTGGCAAACAGGGCAAGGCCAAGTCATCTTTGAGTGCAATAGAGCATATGCTGTGAAGTCATTGTGCTAAGCTGAGAATTAAGAGATTGAAGAAATATGTCTGTRGGGAGAAAAGACCTAGAATAGAGTCCTTAGCTACAACTAGGTTTACTTAGGTGATTGAAACTCCACCTTTATTAGACTATCAACTGTGTTTACAAAATTGTAGTAGATCCAAAGTTTGTATCACCGTGTTAGGCACACTTACCCTGCTTAGTCTAGCTAGTTAGGTTCCAAGGTACTAATGATTTCTCTGTGTGCAGATTTAAATGAAATCTTCACTCATTTTTGCATGGTAGCAAATCTGCATTTTTTTTATATCTGATTTATAAGATTACCAAGAGATTCTTTTATGTTAAAAGAGATGACTCTTTTTCAGTGTACTGTATATCATCAGCTTGTAACTGGTCTCTTTCTCAGGATCTTTCCCAGTCAAATATTTGGGTTAAATTTATCATACTATCTCTGTGAACCAGCAGTGAGAAAACAAAAAGAGAGACACTCTGCTGTATAATGTATTTTTAAATAAAATAATTTTTCATTCATATGTAGTGTATTTTTTTAGATGTCTGCTTTACGTATGTTTTGGTTGATACTGTACRTGTAACAAAATTATGATTTTATGTCAGGTGCATCTGGTGACATATTTTCTCGATTAACCAGGAACCCTCACAGTTAACTACCTTCCCTTAGAGGTGGTTCTGGTGAAATTGAAAAGCATGAGAGCAAGAGCTGCATTGCAGAGTCCACAGCCTGTGGGAAGGACTTTTCCTAGAATGTGGACCAGCCAAGCTCCAGACTCTACTTTGATTGATTTTCATAAGTGGCAAGARTTTGCCCTTCCACATCTATAACTCTCCATTGCCCTGAAGTCTGGGCTTTATCTCTTCCATTCTGGACCCAAAAAAGCTTTCAGTAAGAACAGTTTGCCAAAACAAAAGAAAGATGGCATTTTTTTGATTAAAATGGCTTTTTGGTGGTTGCTTTTAAAAAAAGCATCATTTGTCATTCAGGGAATATTCTGGTTCCTACTGAAAATAGTGTTATTGAACCATTTCTGTGATTTTGAATGCAACTGATTTTATTATTCTTGTGGACTTTTTCTGTGTGTACTTCAGTGAAACAGCTCCACTCTATTTATAAATGAGATGTTTAAGAAGCATCTCTAATGTTATATGCTGCTGTGTTCCTAAAAATGGAATTTGTAAGGCATATGGGGACACCAGCTGGGCTCCTATCCATAACATTTTAGATTCTCTTATATGGATTYTGCTGTTGGTTTATAATCAGGAGCTGCGTAAGATATACGGTGATAGCATCCAGGCTCATATCTCTTCAGCTTTTAAAAATGTTCATTTTAATAATATATATTAAAAGAGGATAATGTTGATATTCTTTAGCTGCAATTTTCTTTGGTGTTTGCTGTTGCGTTACTTTTGTTACTGCCCAAGATCACAGTAAGTGCAACAGTCCATTTGCACATTATGTTAGCAGGGAGCTTTTTATACTCTTCTGGAGTCTAATTTTGGTATTTCTGATGCTTGCCATCAGAAAGCAGMGTGCATTACATTTTAGGAGCAGATAAACTGAGTCTATTTCAATCAAATACATCCCTGGCCATCTGCACAGCCTTGGCCTTGGGGACACTCAGGAGCATTTGCAGGCRGAAGGGTGAATAGACCTCCAGACCTCTCAGCCCTGCAGCACCTCCCTCCAGGCACATCAAGAGCATTTTTACCCAGCTCAGCCTCTGACAGCTGCCTCAACCACAGCATATGGGATTTTCCTGCTGTACACCAGGTACTGTTCCCTTCTCCCCTCAAGACTTTGAGAGACTGCACAGATCAGGGAAGATACCACATCCTCACCTTGAAGTGCACCACAAGCATGACTGCAGCTGGAGCCAGTGGCTGCCTGGTTCTCACTKGGACAAATGGAAAGCTAAAAGAGGACCTAGTATGGCTCCAGCTTTTGGCCTTCTCCTCCACTTTCTAGGCTTTTTGGTTTTCARGGGTTTCCACAAAGGAAAGTAAAGGGAATCTTTACAGATTGCCCACTCAAACTTCTGCTGCATTGTTCTAAGGTTGTGAAAGCTTTACACTTGCTTATTGGCCACTAGGGACTTTCCACTATAACACGGTGTTGCCTTGTTGTCATCCTCTCCTGTGTGTGAAAAGAGCTGAAAAAGTTCCTTAGAGTTTCCAGGTCTGACCTGATGTTCGGGGAAGAAGACACTGTGAACAGCCCGGGAAGAGCCCTGCCAGGGTGGGAATTGGATCTCCYGTGACTGTGATAAGCCCTTGCCAAGCTGCTGGACTAAGGTATGACTCTTAACAGGTTTGCTCTTCATACTAAGCTGCCTATATTTGCCTCATCATAAAGCTCCAGTCCCCTTCCAACACAGACCATTGGGTRCCTGTCTCCCTGATCAATACTGGAGCTTGTTCTTTCTCTGTAGAGAATCCTAGGAAGTGCAGCATATCCTGCATGAAACTTCCCCTGTGTGTGCTGCTGCTCTCCCAGACAAGCTGAGGTAAGTGAGGTGTCACTGAGGCTGCCAAGGTGCTTGGTTTCCACTTGCCTGTAGCCATACCATGCTCCAGGTRCTTGGTGATTGCTGGAAGCACTGTAACCAGCCTGTGCACAGGCTCCCAGTGCATGTTTGCTGAGAGCTGACATCCAGTTCTCCTCCTGTTGTGCCCTTGAACTCAGTTTCTTCCATTCCAGTTGTCAGTTCTTGATGCTAYGCTCTGCTGTGAGATGTGATATTCATGAGGCAGGAGGGGAGCATGGCTGTGTTTATCAGCAGAGCGTTTCAGATACCCTTACATGCCTTCTACTCTGATCTGCTGTCACTAGCAGTGTAAAACAGTTGGAAGTGGGTTAATCTGATTTAATTAGGACAATTTAATTCCAAACAAAAGTTTACACCCAGAGGTTTTATATGATTCTAACTAATCCACAGCAAATCTCTAGCTAATTCAGATAAACCATCCTGAATTGTCCCATGTGTGGACAAGTCCCAAGCCTTATTTTTTCCCCCCAGAATAGCTCTGCAATTTTAATATCTTCCCCTAGTGACTACAGCTAGAATATCTGTCCAGTCAGCTTCCTCAAGAATTACTGAATCCATCCTCTAAAAYGGGGGCATAGAAGCTGTAGTAAAGAGTTCAAATCCCCAAAACCAAATTCATGGCACCAGTGTTCTCATCTGGCAATGTTYGCAGCAAAATAAATAAACAAAAGTAAGAAATCAAATAATTTTTCTGACAAATTTCTCCCCAAATTCCARTGTTAAACCTAAATACATTCTGCAACTACCAGGCAACCTGTAGTCTTGGTGGCAATCGTTAGTGTGGTTCTGAATGGGAGATCCTTGAGCTGTGAATTCCTAGGATTGCTCTGAAATAGGCAAAATAATCCCCAAAAAAGGAAGTAAACATTTCTACAAGTGTAAAAGTAAGTCTCGAGCTGCAAAGTGAGAAGGGGATGAATTTCAGAAGCTGGGAAAAAGCCTTCTTACATTCGTTAGCAGGTGTGCCAATTTGAGGTAGATTTACTATATTTTTCTAACATAAAATAATAATACTTTAGTGGATGACATTTCTATGTTTTCAAAATTTCTATGTTTTCAAAAGAAAACTGCTGCTTTTAGTCTGCTGTTTCTCCTAAGAAATCACCTGCTGTTTTATACTCTTGCTACTGTTGCTTAAGGAAAAGCAGCTCCTGTTCATTCCTTAGCAACCTCTATTTATACAGTAGCAACTGACAAAAATATTCTATTCAAATATTCTAAAAATAAGTCTGATGTGGAGCAAATAAAGTGCTTATTTAGCAAAACAAAAGAAAATGCCCTTTGGTTCTCACTGAAGACAGGGGACTTGAAGCTAATCCTAGTGGGAAACACAGGGAAGAAGATAAGACCCCCCTGCCTTTTGGCAATACTTTACAATGTTATCAAGACAAGGTGATAGATCGTCTTTGAGATTAATAACCTTTGTTTCTTTTTGTCCCCTGAGAATTTAGAGAAAACGGTGTAAGGATGTTGGCTTGGAGCATATAATCTTACAAAGAAAAACAGAATGCCATTGGTTTTGTATTACGTTTTTTCTGTGGAGTCACTCTCAAAGACAATGAACACCAGCCCTGTAGAAGAAAAATAGAAAGACTAAACAATTTCTTGTCAGTTGGAGGGTGAGAGATTTCCCACGGTGTGTCTTTTCAAGAAAGAAACCAAGTGAATAGGGAGACTTGATATCAGCTGATTATGTGGCAGAATCTGTCATCTTGGGTCTCYTRTGGGAATGYTGCCYRCTTATAGGGTGCATGTTTCACTTAATTAACATTTTGCTTAGAAGAACAGATAATTGTGAGATGTTTGATCTTTAGTTCTTTGTCAGATTAAGAGAAGTTGATACTCCTGTGGCATTTGACACTGTGCTGCTGCTTTTTATTTTCTGCCTGATGACCTGGCTTTCCTGCATATGGAAGGTAAAAGGCTGTATACTGCATGATAATAAAAATAATAAATTGACTTTTTCTTCAGAAATCTGGTGACCTGCATATACAGCTTAAGCAAATCTCTTTCATGGATGTAATTTCTTTTGAAACTTGAGATTGTAAAYTCACTTCTACCTGTATGCTGCTATAAACTTAAAACTAAAAGCTACTTATAGTTGAAGGGAAAAGTTACCTCTACAGGTTCMATGGAAGAGCTACAAGTCTTGAGCACTGTGGTAGAAGCTGCCACAAGAGTTTTGTCACCTAGGAGTCTCTTTATGACTTGCTTGCTCATGTGTGTTTTGATTTTCAAATGTCCCACTCACTGCACTGTGGTTGTGATTTCAGTTGGAAGGCAGATTGCTGAGAAGCATACATGTTAACACAAAAGGGAGCAGTATTATGACTTTCTTCTTCATCCTCATTAGCCTTTAGCATAACTGCATTACTGCCTTTTGTTACTCTCTGACTCTGTGCCCAGTCTTCACTTTCTGACTGCTTCTGGCATTTGTATTTCCCAGTAGATGTCACATTGTGTAATAACCAGCAAGTGAATTGGACTTAGGCCTTTGCCAATATCAAATTGCTTTTTCAGATGCAGGTATGGATACAAAAATAGAAAAATGTAGTGTGGTACCAATTATTTTAATGGGAGTAGAGCAACAATAGAAAATGAGATTGTTTCAGAGGAAAAATGAAGGATGGGGATGAAAATTTAATAATAAATGTGAGGTAATTTAAGCTAAAGACAAATCTGAATRCAAGTGAGATTTCTAAGGATATAACTTGCAATGACTTTATAGACAGTGAGTAAGAATTTCCTACACAGCTGCTAAAGCAAACAGATTTTGCTAGATTGATTCATGGCACTGCAGATCCCACAGGGGTGGTCTGACAGTCATGTTTTTAGGCACAAATATGGCCTGAAAGTCAAAAACTAATGGCAAAACCAAAATGTTCAGGGCTGTGTATATCATACCTTCTGCAATATTACAGGAAAGAAAATTTGTCAAGAAAGGCCTAGGTAGTGCTCTT